TGCTCTTGCGGAGCAGATGGGAACAAGCCCAGGACAGTCCTGTTTCCTTGCCAGTATCAGTCAGGCAGCGGCAAGTCTGGCCTTAGAGAAACCCAGAGAGGGGCAGGGACCTCCTCCAGTCTCGCAGCTCCCTTTCCCCTCACAGCATGCTTTGTGCTCGCTCCAAGTTAGCATTTGTCCCTCCTTCCAAAGACTTCGGAAGCTCAGCACCCCCCCACCCCCCACCCCACCCCACCCCACCCCCGTCCAAAGCGCTCAGTGAACACCATTATCTCTCACCTCTCCGTTCAGAGGCCAAACCCCTGCCAGTGGAGGAATCCAGGGTCCTTTAGTCTCCCTGGAGACAATGCTGTACCTGCATCTAAGGAGGCAGCAGGGTCAGGGGAGCACCCACCTGGCCTGCCTTGGCCCCGGGCCCAGCTTAGGAGCCCTAGGCCACGGCCTCCAGTCCAAGCAGGCTCAAGGCTGCCACAGCCGCGACGGGCACACTCCTGGTCTGTGCCAGGCTCCTCTTGAATAAACACCGCTGCATGGCAACCGCTCTCTGAAGGAGTACAAGTCCCTGTGTGGGGGAGAAGACGAGGCTGAGACTTTTCCCCTCGGTCTCCTTTCTCCCGTGGCTCCCCCAGGTGCTGGGCATGCCCCAGGGGCCAACCTATCTTCTAGGCCCATGGGGAATGGGGGAGGGGTAGCGCACAAGCGAGCTAGAGACAGCTAGGCTCCTCTGTGTGGTGGTTGCATCAAGAAAGATACAGCAGACCGAGGTAGGTGAGCCTGTGCATGTGGCCTCTGGGCCCCAGGTGCCTCTGCTCCCTAGCCTGCCTCCACAGGCAGAGGCCAAGAAGGATGGGCAGCAAGCAGACCCCAGGTCTGACCCTGATTCTGCTGTTACTGCCTCGTGCCCTCTGACCAGGGCTTAACCTTGATCTGCCTCAGTTTCCCTGTCTATAAAATGGGTATAAAATAGTACATGCTCATTAGAGCTGATGTCAGGATTGAATAGCTGCCAGAAGGGAGTGTGGGGTTTGTCTAAAACAAAGCAGGCCCTCTGCTCCCCTCGCCAGAAATATTTACTTAGCAGAAAGCCATGGTCTCCTCCCCAGCCACATTCCCTTGCCCAACGTTTAGGAAACATGGAGTCGGTCATCCTGTGTGTGTTTCCTCACTGAGCCCCAGCAGTAGTGTGTCAACCTAGGCAGAATGCGCCTAACTGCTCCCGCCCCGTGTCTCGCCCACCTCTGACCCTCAACAGCCCACCCTCCAAGGCACACGGGGGAGGAGCAGAGGTCTCTCGCAGCCTTTCGAAGAACCGCTCGCCCAAAAACTAAGGATTAGTTTTAGGCGGCCCCTCAGAGTTCTCAGAGAGGAGTCAGCTTGGCAGATACAAGAATACAGAACAGGGAAGTCTGGAGTAGGCTGCCTCGCTCCAGGAAGCCTAGCTGCTGAATAGCTTCGCCCAAAGCACCGCTCTCCTCCCCAGGCCCAGGAGCGCCATCCTGGAGCCTCTATAAGGAGCAGCTTCCTGAAGCATAGGGAGGCCCAGAGCGCCAGGGAGAATGGAGAACGGGGTCCACCTGCAGAGAGCACTGGTCCCTCCAGAGGGCGCCAGCGGGCCTTCTCTAAGGGAACTGCGAACTGCGACCCAATTGCCAAGTTTCGCCTGCAGTCTCCCCTCCCACCACCACCACCACCCCGACAAAGGAGGAGCCTCCTTTAGACCTGGCCTGGACTTGGGTTCTCTGTAGGATGTAAACATGAAGAAACCCAGTGTTAGAGATGGGGAAACGGAGGCCTGGTAAGTTATGCTTTGTGAGTGGAAGAACCATGAACATCAGAGAAAGGATGGGCACCGAATAGGCAGGACTCTGTGTCCCATGGGTGGAAAGCCAGATATGTACCTCCCCAAATTCACCCCACACGCCAGCCTGCACGGGAGTTTCTAGGTCTGATCCGACGGTCGCCCCTCCCCCCGTCCCAGGAAGGCCATGCAGCAGCCCCTGGCTCTACTCCCCTTCCCCTCTGTCCCTCCGCTCCCTTTGCTCTCTGGGGTCACTCACCTCTGAGGACTGGAGCATCAAGTTTCCCTAGAGCGACCGGAGTCACTCAGGGTCGGGCAGACACGGGAGACTTGGAGAGAGCCCAGGCTGCCCCTGGAGCTGAGCAACCCGGAGAGACCCCGGAAGGTTTACTACCCGCGCAGACCAGCGGCACCTCCCCAGTACCTGCCTGCAGCACCTCCACAGTAGTTCCTTCCTTGCCTTCCCCGCCCCTCCCTCCCTCACCACCTCCCTCTACACACACACACATACACAGGATCTTTCTATGTAGCCCTAGCTGGCCTGGAGTTCTCTATGTGGATCAGGCTGTCCTAGGACTCTCTAGGTAGATCATGCTATCCTTGGACTCCCTATGTACCCCTGGCTGTCCTGGAACTTCCTTTGTTACCAGACTATACAGCCCTGGCTACTCTGGAACTCTATATAGCCCTGACTGGCCTTGAACCCACAGACAGACACACATAGTCCTTCTTCCCAAATGTTTGGATTAAAGGTGTGTGCCACCATGCCGTGCTCACAGCAGCTTCTGTATGACTATTTGAAATGAATTAATTAGACAGTTTAAAGATAAGGATTTACAAGCTCACCGCAGCATTCAGGAAGAACTCCGTCCATCTTGGAAGCCTCTCAGGACGGTCTTGGTAATCGACACAATAATCAATAATCAAAATACAATAATCAATACAGTGTCACTTCTCAGGCTCGCCACTTTAGTCAGCGGCAGACAGTTCAGTTCTGACCCTAATCCAGTGGCTCTCAGCCTTCCTAATGCCACAACCCTTTAATAAAGTTCTTCATGTTGAGCTGACCCTCAACCATAACATTGTTTCATTGCTACTTCATGACTGAGTGTTGCTACTGTTATGAATCATAATGTAAATATCTGATCTGCAGAAACACCCGAAGGGGTCCTGACCCACAGGTTGAGAACCACTGGTAGGGCCTAGTCCTTCAACAAACATGTCACCATGGATCCGTTTAGCCTTTGCTTATCTGTAAAGTGGGTCAGTATCCATGTCTAGCAACAGGAAGAGGTAGGTGTCCTGAACTCGTGCCCTACTGCATGGTAAGCATGCCACACCATAGTGTAAGGCAACCTTTGAACCACACAGCCAGGCTCGGCCAGGTTGCTCTGGGTACCACTGCCCAGCCTCCTCTTGTTCTTCCTACCCCCTTCACATAAGGAACCTCCCCTCATCCTCTGGCTCCGGCACAACCCGGCAGCCACACACGCTACCCTGTGAAACATGGGTCGGTCCCGGGTCACGTCTCTGGAAGCCATCACTCACTGTCCGGGCTCTCCTGAGGTTAGAGGGGGACACAGATCTGACTCCAGTGGGGGCGGGGACAGTGAGACCCTGAGAGTCTCCTTCTCTGAGACTGACTGCTGCCCCAAGACCAGACTGGGCCTCCAATCTGCAGTCCCTGGGTTCTGATTGCAGACTGTGAAGTTTGGCACTCTGACTTTCCCACTATAAACCAGGATGGTCTCAGCCACATGGAGACGACAATGAAGCATAGGGGGCAGAGAATAGAAAGTGTGGGCTCCATCTCCCCGTGCCTTTGTCTCATGAGGTACCGATCAGCACTCACTGAGTAGAGAGGAAGACTCGACAGGTGGCGGGGCCACAAGTGCCTGACACGGGGACAGCAGGGATTCTGCTCCTAACTCTGCCATTGTGTTGTAAAGGGGCACGGGCTGCTTTTTGTCACCCAGCTCCTGGCCGCCCGGCTAGCTTAACCCCTGAAATAATTACACAGAAACTGTATTCATTTAAACACTGCCTGGCCCATTAGTTCTAGCCTCTTATTGGCTCACTCTCACATCTTGATTCAACCCATTTCTATTAAATCTGTGTATCACCACGAGCTCGTGGCTAACCGGGAAAAATTCAGCATGTCTGACCTGGCAGCTGGCTCCATGGCAGCTCTCCCTAACCCTGCTTTCTTCCTCCCAGAATTCAGTTCTGCCTACCCCACCTACCTATGTTCTGACCTATCAGGCCAAGCAGTTTCTTTATCAATTAACCAATGAAAGCAACACATAGAAGAACCTCCTACACCATTTCCCCTTTTTCTGTTTAAACAAAAAAGAAAGGTTTTAATTTTAACATAGTAAAATTACATATAGCAAAACAGTTATAAAGCAAGAATTACAGTTACAATATTTAGATCTATTTTATCTTTTATTATAACAATGGAAAACTATAACTATATCTATCTATTCTTCAACTCCATCAAAGATTTCAGAAGGATATAATATTACTTAAGTAAACAAGAAATAAGCAACTTCCAAAACTCTAGAAATTACAGAGACATCTAGCTGTCTGGACAGTCACCCAAAGTTCTTTTGTACTGTTGGGGCATCCATCTTCAGCCTACAGGCCCATAGTATTCAGCAGACATTTACATAAAACAGGAAATTTCAAAGACAGTTCAGTCACTTTCTTCTGTATCCTGCAGAATGTCTTGCAGACTCTTTCATGAATCAGGAACCCCAAAGGATCATTTCACCTTTAGGCAAGTTCAGCAGTCCTCTCTCTGCAGGTTCTTTGTGTCAAGTCTATGCAACAGTTCAGGTAAGGGCAGTTTCTTGCCTAAATGGTTAACCAACTCCATAAGGAGCCTCTTCAATGCCCATCTTCCTTTTGAAGTAGCTGGTGCTGCCAGGAGCAGACGTATCTTATTGTCATGAAAAGACTAAGTTATTAAAACATCTTAAATGCCATATTCTGCGGTCTTTGAAAGATATGAAGAATGCCTATCTGAAATATATCTATGCACATCTAGAAAATCTAACTAACATGACTACAAACTTGACTATTACAGATGATTATCTATTAACAACCTATATTTCCTAATTATACATTACATTTTTACATGAACTACATAATCACAATACCTTAATCAAGATCAGAAATACATATACATATAACAAAATTGACCTTAAACTTGTATCAATAAATCAAGATTTATACCAATGCAAATTATTCATATCTATATCACCCCTGATTTTACTCTGTGGTTTATGATGAAGCCCTGGGCCTTCCTTAGGCTTCCAAACTGTCACTCATAACTAAGAGCCTCAGACACTAGGCGACCTCCATGGTCAGAGAGGATGGCTGACCTTCCTCACTTCCACAGGCAGAGACAGACAGAGGCAAGTGGCATGACCTCCAAACTGACCTTGCTGTTTATGGTCCCCAAAATCTCACTCTTGCCCCCTAACCACAACCCCCTACCCTCAGAGCCTGGTCTATGAAGCTTTCTTCTATGGGGTATGTGGGATACACCTGTTCTCCTTTCTCCCCACACTCCATATGGGGTGTCCTACAGCCACAGGAAAAGGGTTTGAAGGAGGGTGCTTTCCTCAGCTGCAACTGAGTGGAGGTGGGGATAACAGGGGGTGGGATGTGTGGATGGGATGGGGTCAGTGGAACAGGCTAGGAAAGGATGGGATGGACAGATGGACAGGATACTGTAGATAGATATGATCAAATCAATAGATGGCATAGGAGAGGAAGGGAAAAGACAGGAGGATCCAGAAAATTACAGGTGGGAAGCAGGAATGAGAAGGAGAGGGGATGCTACTGCAAATACATAATTGATGAATACATAAATGAAAGTTAAACAAGAGTAAAGAATGAGAGAGGAGGTCATTCTGAGCCGCTGGATCAAGCACGACCGGTGAAGGCCTTCACTACCGTGGTGAGGGAGGTAGGCTTGAGTTGAAGCTGACAGCCTTCCGAGTGGAGCAATGGACGACATCAGCGCAACTTTGACAGCCTCCAGTGCTGAGAGGGACCTGTGGTGACCGTCAGGGAGCCGGGCACATCCTGCTCACTGACTGGTAACCCAGTCTGACCCACATGAACCCAGATTGCATCTCTGGTGTAAACTTCAGTGAGCCTTTCCCAACGCAGAAGAGAGCCCCTCCCTGGGTAAGAAGGCTAGCAAGCGAGTCAGATGTGACCCACAGGGACCAGAGCCTGGGGCCAGGTGCAAAGGGAAATGCCACACCTACTTAAGATCCACGTCTCCTCAGCACACTAGAGGAGAATGTCAGCCAGCCAGGGCCATCCAAAGGGCACACCATAATCAGGGCTCAGAAAGGTAAAGACAAAAAAACAGAATCCCGAGAGTAACTGGAGAGAGAAGGCCGCTGTCTATAAAGGACGGACACAGTGCATAAGCCGTGGTGGAAAGAGAGACTGAGGACCAGCGGGTGTTAGAGCCCCACTCGGCCACCAGCAGAGTAGCAAGCCGCTACGGCCAAAGGCTCCGGGAGCTTGGAGTAGAAGAGGATCAACCTTCTTAACACAGAGATCTAAGTTAGCATTCAAAGAAAGATCCAGCTCCCCCTACACACGCACTCTCTCTTAGAGATGCTCAAGAAGCCAGATAACCTTCTAGAATATTCACTGTAGATCTGGGCTCTTCCCACATCAACCCTCACCTATCTACCAACCCTACCAAGAACCTTTACATTTCAGAGATTCTGGAATGGAGAGGAAAGGGAAGACCCAGTCCCCTGAACTTTGGGTAAGTTATATGCCCTCTTCCAACTTGAAGCATGCCCTTGGCCAGGCCCGCCCAGGGCCAATGCTCCGTCCTGTCCAGCAGTTCCCCAACTGAGCTTTGTAGAATAAATGTGAAAGCAAGAATAGAAGTTTGTATGGAGAAGGAAGAATAGACAAAACGGGCATAAATGCCACCTCTTAGAGCCTTTAGCACGCTCTAGGAGCTGGGGCAGCTGAGCTCCGGTAGAATTGAAGCATGAAGCAACTTCCAAATCCATACAATTATGGAGACCAGCTTATGCGTGAAAGGTTTCTGAATACCAGAGTTTTGAAGATTCCTTGTGAATCTCATCTCTCATGCATTTCAAAGTTTCCAAGGCAACAGACCAGAGCTTGATGTCCAGAGTCAAATAACAAACTCATTCTTCAGTTCAGATACAAATATTGTACTACTTAAGGTCATAGAAAAAAAAATATAGAAAAAAATCAGATCCCCAGGAAAATGTCTTCCTTTGTCCAGGTCTCTCTCTCTCTCTCTCTCTCTCTCTCTCTCTCTCTCTCCAACAGAAACATCCTCATTGCTCCCTTTAAGCCACCACCACAAGAAAACAAAGTTCTCACCACAAGGAAGTTTGCTAAAGACGTCCCCACCGCCACCAATGCAGTTTTAAAACCATAAACAGCCACCAGCACAAATCTACTGGAGTGCCTCCCCCGAGTGACTGTCAAACACTCCCAGGTTACCTGAGTTGCTACCTTCAGGCTTCTTTCCAAGATGCTGGTCCCCAGTGGTTTAAGTCCTCAGCACAGGCTCCCTAGGAAAAAGACAGTGAGTGGGGCTGACGAACGCAGACGTCTTGCAGGAGAGGACAAGCCAGGGCTGGCTGGAGGGACAGCAGCCCCACGGCTCTGATGTGAAAGGGAAGAGAAGACGCTTGCTTCTCACTATTCGCCAGGGTGACAGTAACCATGGATATAAATCAGTTTTTGAAACCTGTCCGTTGCCAGCTGAATACAAAGAGCATTCTCTGTTGGAGCCATGGGCAGGCAGAGATAAACACAGCAGTGCAGGTGAAGGGACAATCAGGCACAAGGCAAAGCAAACCTGGTGTCTTCACAACTTCTCCATCCTAAGGGATTGTGTTACCGGTAAACAGATGACGGTAGCGACCCAGTCTAGAATTTGTTATGACAAAAAAATAGAGAGAGAGGAGAGGGAGAAGCCCAGATGATGGGGGAAATAAGTATTTGTTAGAATTAGAAAGCTAGGCATGACCGGATATGTCTGTAGGACAAGGACCTGAGAGGCTGAGGCAGGAGGATAGCTTGGGTACAGAGCAGTCTGAGCAATAGAGAGAGACCCTGTCAAAAAAAAAAAAACAATAATCAATAATATTAATAATAGTCGAGTGGTGATGGCACCTGCCTTTACTCTCAGCACCAGGGAGCCAGAGGCAGGCAGATGTTTATGAATTGGTAGCCAGCCTGATCTACAGAGAAGGATAGCCAATGTTATACAGAGAAATTCTGCTTCAGAAAATAATAATAATAACCTACATACAAAAGCAAGTAAACAAACCTTTTAAACATACAAGGTTCAGGCAAGGCTGAGAAGATGGCTCAGCAGTTGAGAACACACACAGCTCTTGCAGAGGACCTCAGCTTGGTTCCCAGCATCTGCAAAGGGTCTCCGTTTGCTCCCCAGAACCCATACTGAGGAGAACACACACTGCTCTTGGAGAGGACCTCAGCTTGATTCCCAGCATCCACGGTGAGTGATTCACACTGACCTGCTACTCCAGCTCCAGGGGATCCTACAGATCTGACCTCGCTGGGCACATGTCCTCATATGCTGACAGGCACACACAGGTACACGTACATGTCCTCATATGCTGACAGCCATACACAGGTACATGCACATGTTCTCATATGCTGATAACCACACACAGGTACACGCACATGCCCTCATATGCTGACAGCCACACACAGGTACACAATTTTTAAAAAAGTAAAAATAAATCTTTTCTAAATAGATTAAATTAAATGTCCTTGGGAGAAGAAGAAGAAAGGTTGTGGACCTGGTGCCTACTCGGCTCAGTGGCCTTGGTCTAGCCTCGGCCCTGTGCAGTGCTGGTTCCTGGTGTCTACTTGGCTCAGTGGCCTTGGTCTAGCCTCAGCTCTGTGCAGTGCTGGTTTCTTGTGCCTACTTGACTCAGTGGCCTTGGTCTAGCCTCGGCCCTGTGCAGTGCTGGTTCCTGGACACCTCACAAACTGCTCTAGCTCCTCCCCAGAGCCTCCACCTGTGGTGCCCCATCCAGTCTCCATTGTGTAGAAGATAAGTTGGCACACATAGAAGGTAAGAGGCTTGCCAAAGGCCACCCAAGGCGTTCATGGGCTGGGTTAGCATGTGCCAGAGTTTTCAAAGTGCTTAGTTTCTTCATGGGAAAAGACATGTCATGTCAGTCCAGGGCCAGAGGACAATTCCAGGTAAGAGTTGGCAAGTTTTAATTTTTACTCTTTCTTTCTTTCTTCTTTCTTAGCAGAGTGGTGTGTTTGTGTTGCTTTTAAAAAAAAAATTAAATCTCTACATTAATAAATAAAGCACAAAACTTTTTGAAATCTGATAATTTCTTTTAAAAACACCTAAGCAATGCTTTTTTTTTAAAAAAAAAAAAACAAACCCTTAAGATGCAGAGGCAGGTAGATCTCTGTTTGAAGCCAGTCTGGTCCACCAGGCTAGACAAGGTTACATAGTGAGACCTAGTCTGATGCTAATTTATTAATTTGTAAATGGAGGTTTATCTGTCTTGTCCTGCCCATAGTTGCTTCCAAATAATAACTCGGAGACTTATATTAATTATTAATGCTCAACCAATAGCTCAGGCTTATTACTTGCTAACTCTTACACTTAAATTAACCCATATTTCTATCTATGTTTTGTCACATAGCTCAAGCCTTGTTACTTCATTTTCTACATGTCCTGTTTGTTCAGTGGCTGGCTGGTATCTCTCTCAACTCTGCCCCTCCTCATCTGAGTTCTCAGTTTGATTGTCCCATCTAACCTTATCCTGCCTAGCTACTGGTCAAACAGCTTATACTATTAACCAATGAGAGGAATACATATTTACAACATACAGAAAGATCATCCCACAGCATTAATTAACTAATTAAAAATACACAAATAAGACAGCCCTGGAGTTAGAGAGACAGCTCAGCAGTTAAGAGCACTTCCTGTTCTTCCATGGGACTGGAACACTGTTCCCAGCACCCATTTTGAGCATCCCACAATTGCCTGTAAGTATAGCTTCAGAAGAAACAACTCCCTCTTCTGGCCACTGCGGGCACTGCACACACAGAGATGTACATGCACGCACATACATAATAAAACATGTCTAAAAAAGAAATAAAGCCAAGTGTACTCAATCCCAGCACTGAGAGGCAAAGGCAGGAGGATCAGGAGTGAGGTTATCAGAGTTTGAGACCAGATTGGGCTACGTGACACCTTGACTCAAAAAGAAAAGAAAGGAAAAGAAAAGGGGAGGGAAAGAAAGGAAAAGAAAAAAAGAAGAAAAAATGAAAGCCCTTTGAATCTGAAAATATATTGTGAATTTCTAAAAATGAATGCTTTTTTTTATATAAACTTGTACATTTGCAGATCTGGAGACAGGGTTTTTGGAGACAGGGTTTCTCTGTAGCTTTGGAGCCTGTCCTGGAACTAGCTCTTGTACACCAGGCTGGCCTTGAACTCACAGAGATCCGACTGCCTCTGCCTGGGAGTGCTGGGATTAAAGGTGTGCGCCACCACCGCCTGGCATATCTGGAGACTTTTAAATACAAAGCAAATGCAGTTTCCTGTGATACAAGAAATTTCTCAGCCCATTTTAACAAACCCTTCTGAACTTCAGTGCTGTCCTGTGAACGCATGGGGTGCCATGCACAGCTAAAATGGGTGCAGACAATGCAGGAGACCCCTCCTGTGGTGGGAGAGTCCAGCCTCTCTGCATGTGTGCACATACAATCACAGGACAAAGTGCAGAAGAACATACACCATAACATTGGTTTCGCTTGCTGAAGCAAACAGGGGCGGGAATTATTGGTGATCGTATTTCCACTGGTATTTTAAACCTTTTTAATGTCATTTATTTGCTTGTTGTTTTGAGGCAAGGTCTCACTGTATGGTTCTGACTTGAATTCTCCTTGTAAACCAAACAGGCCTCAAACTCACAGAGATCCACCTCCCTCTCCTCCTGAGTGCTGAGATTAAAGTGTGTACCACCACTGCCTAATTTAAGACTGTTTAACCTAATTTGTCATTACTAGGGACTAGATCCAGGGCCTTAAACTAGCTAGGTCCTCTACCAGTGATCTATCTTTCATAGCCTCTTATTTTTATTTTGGGGTGAGGTTTTGCTAAGTTACCGAGCCTGGCCTTGAACTTACTATGTAGCTCATCAGGCCTCAAACTCTGATCTTTGTCCTCAGCTTCCACTAGCTGGAGTTACAGGCCTCAGCTAAGGTTTCCTACTTAACAACCAGATCCAGTAAGTAAACCTTGGCTGATCCTAGTTAGAGAAATAAAACCAGATAACAAGGACATCACAGCGATGATCAAGGAGTATTAAATACAACCTGGAGTAGTTACACCTTTAATCCCAGCACTCAGGAGGCAGAGGTAGGCAGATTTCTGCAAGTTGAGGCCAGTCTGGTCTACATAGTGAGTACCAGGATATCCAGGCCTATACAGAGAGACCTTGTGTTAAAACAGTTAAGTAAACTGGGCAGTGGTGGTGCACGCCCTTAATCCTAGCACTTGGGAGGCGGAGGCAGACTGATCTTTGTGAGTTAGGGGTCAGCCTGGTCTACAAAGCAAGTCCCAGGACAGCCATGACTGTTATACAGAGAAACCCTGTCTCAAAAACAAAACAAAGCAAACATTAAAAAAAAAAAAAGAAAAAAAAAAAAACACTAAATAAAGCAGCCAGTTGTGGTGGATCTACAGATAGATCTCTACAGTTTCCAGACCAGCCTGGTCTACATACAGAATTCCAGGACAACCAAGAAAATATAGTGAGACCCCGTCTCAAAAAGCAAGGGGCAGCGGGGAAGGGAATGAAAGAGACATTAAATATGAACTGGATATTTTATAATAAGAAGAAATGTCGAGGCTGGAGAGGTAGTTCAGAGGCTAAGAGCACTGGCTGCTCTTGCAGAAGAACTGGTTTACTGGGCCCAGAGCACACAGCACCTCACCACTATGGGCCACTCCTGTCCCAGGTGATCTGATGCCCTCTTCTGGTTTCCACGGGCACTGCATGCACATGTTGCACAGACATGCAGGCAAAACACCCAAACAAAAAAATAAAATAAAAAAGAAATATACCTTCTGACTTTGGGGGGAGGAGGTAGTTATGTAAGAAGTTGTAACGTTTAGGAAAGACATATATTTAGTACAGTATCATGACATCTCTAACATGCCTTCTAATAGCAAAAATAAACACAGGCACACAGACAAAACATTGACAATGTTAATCTGTAGGTATGCAGATGACTAAAATGATTAATTCAAATCTTTTTGTTTGTTTGCTTGCTTGCTTGCTCGGGTTTTTCTTTTTTTCCCATACAGGGTTTCTCTGTGTAATGGCCCTGGCTGTCCTGGGACTCACTTTGTAGACCGGGCTGACCTAGAACTCATAGAGAACTCTGTTTCCCAAGTGCTGGAATTAAAGGCACTCGCCACCACACCTGGCTATTTGTTTGGTTTCGTTTGTTTTGTTATTGTTGTTTTCTTTTTAAGACGGTCTCTCTATATAACCTTGACTGCCAACTAAGATGGCCTCGAACTCTGCTTCTGTCTTCTGAGTGCTGGGATTAAAAGCAGGCACCATCACGCCTAGATAATTCTTCTCACTTCTCTGTATAATTGAATTTTTCAAAAGTTTGGAAAAGAAACGAAGTGAAAAACAGAACTTACTCCCTCACGCTACCATTGAGCAAATGTGAAATCTAGATCTCCTGAACAAAGTCCACGCTGGAAAACATGTCCGTCGTAGCACAGCGCAGATGGTTCCTTTTAAGGAAACAAGGGGAAACGTGAAGGCTCCGCGGCAAGACTGTTAGACACCAAGAGTTGCCCATGCTGCTGCTGCCTGCTGGGTATTGCTCAGGTTAGTCCCATGGGAGTGTGCCCAGGTCCAGGAGGGGGGAATATCTCCTTCCGCGGGGCCACTGTCCACCTCAGAGATCTGCAGATACAGCCATCACCGGAAGACCCGGTGTCCTTCAAATGGGGATAAAATTTCATTCCTGAAAGAAAGAAAGAAAAAAAAAAGGACCCCGGGGGGTTCTCTGGCCAAATCCAAAAGGCTGGAGGTACCCAGAATGGGGACTTTCTTGGATGGCAAAGTTGCCCGAAGCAAGGCTGACACCTAGTGGCTCGCTTGGATTTTGACGATTTACACTTGGACCTCCCCCAAAAGGAACACAGGCATATCCTGTAAAATCCACAGCCAAGACGTCCCCTGGAAGAAAGAAACCTGAGTACTGAATCCTCCCCACACACATACTTCTTTGGTTTCTTGCAAGCAGGAATCTCAGAAAACTGAATGAAAGACCTCGATTCTAAGGAGTTCTTGTTGCAGGGTTCTAGAACGCATCGATCAAGCAACTATTTGACCTTGGCTTTCCTTTGAACACCCCTACTTCCCAAAAGACTCTCCCTCGAATCCTAGAGCAGCACCTGTGCACAGAGCTATGCGAGAAGAGGTACCCTGAGAGTCCTTACCAAAGGGGCTTCCACCGAGGTACACCCCTGTCCTCAGGTATCCAACAACTCTAAGTTTGAAATAAGCAGTCTCTCATTCATGAGGTAGAGCTGACAAAAATCACAGGCACTGGTCATCGCTTCCATGGTAATTACCCCAGGCTCCAGGGTGGAAGCAAGAGACATGATTTTTCAAAGATTTTTTTTTTTTAAAAAAAGGGCTGGAGATATGGCTCAGAGGTTAAGAGTGGTTAATGATTGCTCTTCTTAGAGGACAAGGTTCAATTCCCAGCACCCATAGGGCAGCTCACAACAGTCTGTAACTCCAGTTCCCAGGGGATTCGACACCCTCATTCGGAAATACGCACAGGCAAAACACCAATGTATATAAAGTAAAGAAATAAATCATTAATAAAATAAATAAATCATTTAAAAAAACTATAATCTCTTCCAAACAAAAAGAAACATAAATCAATTCTAACAAACCTATTGGCTGGTCAAAAAGCAAATCAAAATTCCCAAAGGATTTATAGGATTTATGTTTAACTTGGTCAAAGGAGAGTTTTCCACATCAAATTCCACCTGAAATCTTTTCAAGCCAAACTAGGAGGCAACCCAACAGGTCTATGGAAATTTTAAGTACCAGAACCTATACCTAGAATACTAATACTATCCATTGGCCATAGTTATCTTCATTGGCTGCATTTAGAATCATCCAGGAGACACTCTGGGCATGCCTGTGAGGATGTTTCCTAAGAGGCATATTTTACCTGAGGACGTGGGTAGCACCATCTTGTGAGCTGGGACCCCAGAACTAATATAAAGAGAAAAAGATCCAGAAAGCAAATATTTGCTTCCTGGCTGTGGACAGTGTGACCAGCTGCCTCGGCTCTGCTGCCTTGATGGACGCTCAAACCACAACTCAAAACAGAACATCTTTCCTTCAGTCAAGTATCCAACTCAGCATCCTAGAGAATCCAATCCAGCATCCTAGAAGGAAGCTGGCACAGCACCTACACAAGGAGCATGAGCAGCCCCTGGAACCTTCCTTAGGACACTAAAAACAACCTATTATCATTGATCAGGAAATAGCCCAACAATCTAAAGCTGGTGGGCGGATAAAATAATCTGTATTGGAGTCCTCCACTCCCAAGCTGATCTTCACACTGTTTAACACAGTGAAGCAGTTTTGTTGCTACATACAGTATTACCATCCATATCAGTAGTGGTCCTCAGCCTAACTCTGTGACCCTTTAATACAGTTCCTCATGTTGTGGTGACCCCCACATGATAATCATTAAATTATCTTGTTGTTACTTCATAACTGTTGATCTATATGGAAAAAGAGAAACCACCTATTTCTCACCAGCACATCTGTCTACACACAGATCCACAGAGGAAATATGGAGCGACCAACTACAAGAGAACCAGTTACCTCTGCATGCAGCTCTTCCCAGGTGGGATTCCGGAAGAGGATCAGAGGCCGTGGGCAGCTGGGCATCTTCTCTAGAGCAGTGATTCTCAACCTTCTACTGCTGCGACCCTTTAATACAATCCCTCATGTTGTGCTGATCCCCAACTATAAAATTGTTTTTGTTACTGCTTCATAACTGTAACTTTGCTACTGCTGTGGATCATAATGTAAATATTTGTGTTTTCCTGTGGTCTTAGGCGACCCCTGTGAAAATGCTGTTCAACATGGGGTCGCGCCCCACAGGTTGAGAAAACTGCTTTAGAGGCATGCATTCTACATCACTTGCCTACTTTACAGTAAAGCTCAGCAGGTAAAGGTTCTTGACTCCAGGCCTGACAGCTGAGTTTGATCCCTGGGATCTGCCCACAAGTTGTTTGTCCTCTGACCCCCACACATGCTGTGAGATGCCAGTGCGCGTGAACCCCACCCCGACACCTAACCATAACCTGTCCGGTCCATATGTTACTTATGTTTTCAGAGCTGTTCGGTGCTGGACAACAAACTGGTTTGCCCTTCCCTGGGGAAGACCACCTCTCTTGCCCCCAGCTTTCCTCAGCTATGTATAGTTTTTTGCATAGAGTTGAGGCCTTGTGTTGGGCACGTCCCTTAGTTTCAAGCTTGTTCAGCTCCTGTTTGGGCGGTCATGGCAGTGAGATTTTGTGGGTATAGCTTCTGATATTACTAGAGACACACCTCACAGCAAACTCCCTGGTCCTTCAGCTCTCACAATTTTTCCAGCCCGAGGTGTAGGAGTGTTTTGTATCTATTGCAATCAGGCTCCATCATTCTGTTTATTGACTGGTTATGATTTTCTGCATTGGTCTCCATCCGTTGCAAAGAGAAATGTTCTTGATGAGAGGTGAAGATTACTTATCTGTCTATAAGGGTGTTTATAGATTGTTGTTAAGGACTATGTTGGTTTAATAAACAACCATGTTTATTAAATGTTGTCTCCTCCAACAGCCATGACTTCATTAGCACTAAGTAGTTAGCTAGGTTTCCAGTACCAGGCATGGTTTCCCTCTTTTTGAGTGGGTTTGAAGACCAATTAGAGAGCTCAAGGTGTGCCTGCCACTACAGTACCTTTAGGGTTATCAAGTCATTCTGGTTACTGGAGTCAATCACGGCTGGGTAGGATGATGGGGTAAGATCTTTGCGAGTATGCCAAGGTAGAGCTGGATCATACGATAAATTTACGTTTAGCTTTCTAAGGATTTTCCACACTGATGTCCAGAGTGGCTACACCAGTTTACAACCCCAACAGTGACATCCCTCCGGCATTTGTTATTGGTTAGAACAGTATGTTTTTAAAAAGAAAGTTCACTTTTGGAAAAGAGGGATTTTTGTCTACTCAAGGGGTTAAATTTCTTTAAAGTGTCAGACTTAAACAGAAATTTTCCACACTTGATCCAAGGTTCCCTCAGTTACTGTCCCATTGGGTTCTTGCAGCGTCCTTGAGGCAGATGGCACTATGGTTACTCTGTCTCACAACAAAAAATGGCACTGATGGTTATCATACTGTGGTGTGAAACCAGAATTTGCTCTCCTGGTTATCCCACCGCGGTGTGAACCAAGAACTTGTGCTCCAGCTTCTGTCCATTGGTTTAATCTCTCATGATGAACTTAATTGTATTCTGCTAATCTGCCTTTCTCATACCCAAATCTATCACAAGGCACCAATTAAACAGGCTGCCAGGTGTACAAATGACTTTCTGATACACAGAATTTTACCCCTAAAATTAGAATGTTCATCTTTATCATGTGTTTTTAACTACAATCAGAAAAAGGGTTCTGCCTAACAGAGAATAATTAGAAAGATCCAAGTCTAGCTGAATCTATTGTCTGTTCCTTGGGGGCAGCTACATGTACTGTTGAGGTACCAACAGTCACAGCTTAATCAACAGCTTTAAATGGTACCGAAGGAGATCCAGCACACCCAAATCTCAAACACTATCCTGTGAGGAGAAAAACTGGGGAAGGACAGCAACTAGCACAGCCCTCAATGGAGCCAGGACATCAAAGCCTGCCACTGGGGAAGGAGCGCAGCTTCCCTGGCACCAGCTGTAAAGACACCACCCGCCCATTTCTCTACTACAATGCCACACTTGATTAAAAATCAATCCTCTAACGATAAAACTGGGTTACTGTGTGACATTCCTGTGTAGAAAGAGGACATGTCATCACTCAGCATGCAATCTTCTGAGAGGTCTTTTTCCTCGGTGAACTTGAAGCTTGTTAATCCATTAATACCCCTTGTGGCTCTGTGAACTGGTGTCAAGTTTTGTCAGCGTAAGCAATACTGCTGACGCACCACAAAGTCAAGACTTCTAGAGGAAAGGAAAACTGAATTATATGCCTGAGGTACCTTCAAAGAGGGGACCAACAAAAGGTCACTCAAAAGGCAACATGAAAATCGTTGCTTCCTGGGAGGAATCAGTAGACCTGTCATTCACAGCTTGGAGAACCTAGAGCTAAAGACACTGTCAATTCCAATCTGCAGAATTCTAGGACTGCTGAGTTCTTTGCACTTGTGCTCTCCTCTCGATGTCCCGTTTCTCTCTTCCCGAAATGCTGGAGCACAACCATATCTTGTGCTTCTTCCATTCCTATTACTACTCTCTAGGGAAACTCGGGAGCAATGCCATGACACCCATGTCAAGGCCAAATTGCTACCTCCATCCACACCTCTCTCAAGATAACTAGTTGGAGGGGGCTGGAGAGATGGTTCAGCGGTTAAGGGCATTGCCTGCTCTTCCAGAGGTCCTGAGTTCAATTCCCAGCAACCACATGGTGGCTCACATCCATCTGTAATGAGGTCTGGTGCCCTCTTCTGACCTGAAGGCATATACGCAGACAGAATACTTGGTAAGTAATTGGTAGCATTACCTTTGAAGTACTGCGAGTTATCAGAAAATGCCAAATAACCAGCAGTGTTAGTGATGCCTGGGAGGATATTTAAGTCAAGTCCTACCCCATGCCTCTCACACCATGCAGCAAAGGCTAACTAACTCTAACTTCAAAGCAACCTGACAACAACCAGTTCTCTCCAACTCCGTTACTACCATCGCAGTCCATCATGGTTACTTCATCATGGGTTACTTCAGACACAAGGGCTTTTTCTATTGCAGTCCTGAAAAACTGAATTCTTAACTGGAAAGGCTGAGTATTCTGCTCCAACATAACAAGTTTCTCCCTCTCAGTTCAGAGCATAACTTCTGCAATGGTCTCCAGGCCTGTCCTCAGCACCTTTCTCATGCAGCACAACCTCCCATGCTGATTTCCAACAGGAACTGCCCTTGGGCCTCTGCTCAGACACTAAGTCTCCATCCACTTACTTGGCTCACCTCCTACAATGTCCAGATCTCAATAACCGGATTACAACTCATGCAATCTACGTCTTCCCCATTCCAACGCCCTTCCTTACTCTGCATTTGTTCCACATTTATGTATCAGTTTCCTCCTTTCTCTCTCACACACATATTACCTCCCTGGCTAACTCCGAGCTCTCCATTATTTTAACAAGGACCTGAAGTGAATACCCTGGCTTGGCTTAGAAACTGGGGTTGCCAGTCCGTCCCTGAAGACATTTTGTCAGGATATGCACAAAAAGACCGAAGTCTGGGGCAAAGCAAAACTTTTACCACTTCAACCAGGAAACAAAGCTATAGAGGAAGAGTCGACAGCACCTCTTGAGAACATAGTAGAAACCTTCAA